AATGAACTTTACAAGGTGATTGTACAGTGTAACACAAATACCCATGCCAAAAAATCAAACAGGAGATCATAAAGAAAAGTATTTAGCACAGATTTTTTTCACAGGCATTCCAATTTTTTAAGATTTACCAACAAGAAATCCACAAATAACAACTTCTAAATTTTCCATCAATTTTAATAATTGTTACAAAAAAAGCTGTTTACTTGGAAGAAGATTATAAATGTTGTACAGCATCAGTGGCAGTATTTAGTATGATGTGAAAGGAGGAGTTTTATATGTTATTTCAATTTCAGATTTTGTTATGCATGCCAGTTATAGCATTGTATATCATGATATCCCTTTACCAATTAATTTAAAAGAGGACAAATTCTGATTCCGTATCAGGAATCCCCCATATCCTTGCAAGGTATGGGGATCTAAGAGAAATATGGTATGGATTCCTAAGAGGAAATATGGGATTTTTGTTACAGACTACACAGAACATCCTGTGAACAAAACAAAACAGAACATAACAAAACAACAAAAAACAAACAAACAAAAAAGGCAGAACAAAGTGTTTCCCATCTCCCTTGAGTCAGCAGAAAGCCAGAAGAAATAGTTTTATACAAGGGAATTGTGGTGAAGATGATCTCCTCAGACCAAGCCTGAAGGTAAGCCAGCAATCTTCAGATACATCAGCACAAGTCTTCTTTCCCATTTCCTTGCTTCTCTTCTGGCTGGTCCCTTCAAATCTGCATCAGAGGTTCTTCATCTAGTGCAGACGGAAGTGCATTACACAGAGTGGGCTGCAGCTCTCCTGCTGAGTCCAGCTGCTGACTGATTCATGCAGACTGCACTGTGGCAGTGCAGCGTACCACCCACCACATCCTGTAAGACCACCACTGCCATACAGCCTGGCCCAACTTTCAGGTGTCCCACAACACAATTCTGTAGAATTGTTATCTAAAAGTGGTCTTTCCAAAAAGAAAGAGAGTCACTGCAAGTCATGAAGTACTCCTTGGAGGGCAATGAATCTGTCAGCTGTAAATATAATAAAAAGCCTCAGTCCCACAGACACTTACAAACCTGCTTAAATTCAAATCTCTGAGTAGCCTCTTTGAGTGAAAGAGAGCTTCAAACATAAAACTAAACAAAATCTGTAAGTATTTACAGGATCAAGAAATGAAGCAAAAAATGTTGCTGGTCTTCTTCCCCACCATCCAAATAAATTAAAAGCAAATCTTCCCAGTGTGTAAGACTCATTGTGAAAAAGGACTACAATGCGTGGCTGTTTCAATACTGCAAGAAAAGTGATACAACTCAGAAAATATCTACCTGATTTTTCTTCACCATTATTTCAAATTCAGTGTTTTCTTTTGCTTTCAATTACTTTTTCTTGCTCTGTTCATTTCCATAGAGGGATGAACTCATAGTCTCTTTTTTGTAATGTTTACAGTAACGTTAAAAACTCTAAAATTGCAGCTGATCATTAGTTCTGATGTTCATTTGAAAATCATTTTCTGGGAAAAGAAAACATTGTATACCCCTTGGCTTCTTAACTAACATGCTCCAGTCAAGATTGAATCTGTAATCAAATTTTCATCTCCACAAAACATATTGGGATTCATTTATTTTTTCCACTAAGGCAATACTTTTAAAAGTAGCTGTTGAGACCTACAGCCAGCAAGTGTGTAGTACTGCTCATGTGAGAAGGCACCTGCATCAGAGAATCTCCATGGTGGTACAGCAAGTAGATAATGGGGCTCCAAAACCTGCTACTGTATTAGCAAAGATAGTATAACAGAATGGAAGAGTCCAATGTGAACTTTTAATTACCTCATTAAAAATTTATGCTTATGCACACTAATTATAAGGAAAGAGGCTTCTTTATATACAAGTATTTTAAGTAGCATGTAACATCTAATTAACTAGAAAGAAATGCAAAGCTATTTTTAATATATAAACACATATATTTAATAGTCACGATTACAGGTAGGTGTTTTAAATAACTATTTGGACAAATCCAATCTGTGCAAGGTGACAAGTCCCACAACAGTTTTCCAATAATTCAGTAAAATGAACTAGAGTATTAGATGGTTGATAAATACCCTCTCTGTTGAAAACATGCTACAGAAAAGCATACATTCTGTTCTGTCCATCATAAGGAAAATGCTTGTTTGTTTTTTTAATATTTTACCTACGAAGTTAATATTAAATGTTTATGTTATTTCTGAAATACCAGATTAAAATTGTTCTTAAAATGGTTCTTCTTCATGATCTGGCTCATAGTCCCCGAAGGAAGAGGCAGCAGCCATTTCCCAAGACACAAAAGCTGGTGGATTTTTTTACAAAACAACCATGAATCTGTTTGAGACTTTTCTCATTGCTAAAGCCTCTTTCAGCTTGCAACCATTAATTTCAGGTTTTTTTTCAGTTCAGAATGCTGCATCAGCAGCTGAAGGAATGTACGTTAAATGTATAGTAATGTTTTACTGTCCATTTCCAGATTTCAAAAAATTTGACATAAATTCAGTACTTCATCCTGAGACAGTCTCAGCTCCTTCAACTCTTAATTTTTAAAGAATCAGAAAACCAGTGAAATCTCATAGCTCACAGTGCCTCATTGGCATGCTCAACCAAACTCAAACACTATTGATCAGCTCCTGTTATTGGATATTGATTTCCCTGCAAAATTAACTAATCCTCTTCAAAAAGCAGGGTAATTTGATGTCCTCACCTCATAGTGCACACGTTTTCCATTAAAAACATCAAGAGGAAAGTACATGTGTTTAAGAAATGAGTTGTGTTTCTTTGTGAGTGTTTGTTCCATAAAATAATTTTTTTCCGTCCCATTAAATTGAAAAACTTTATGTCTACTATACACAATGGAAAAAATTCGTTGACTTCAACGTGCATTACATCAGGCCCTCTGTGCTTACTTCTAGTTGTTCCAGGCACAGCTTTCCCAGTGCCTAATGTGGAATCAGTCACTTGAAATCATTCAGGGCTTTTATAACACTTCATTATGTATGATACAACTTCTTTCACAATAAATTCTTTCAAATGCAATTCTTGTTCAGAGACACAAGCTCATGATTAATTCATTATGTGTATGCAAGAACTGCACCCTTTTCTACAAAAGGTTAAAGGGAGATTTGCTGTAACTAACACCTGCAATTAAATCACCAATAATTTCTTGTAAAAATATCAGTGGTTTATTTAAAGAAAAATGCTTATATTGAACATTATGAAAAACATTCAAAAGTACAAATGTATGTAATACGCTTTAAGTACTTATTACTATGAATCTTTGAGAGTGTAACAAAGAAGAATAAATCAGAATTAAAACTGGAGAAGGAGGAGGAGTGCTATCACTCCAAGAAAAATAGTAAAATTCTGCAAGTAAATTGCTTTCTCATATGGCTCTATCTACACTGAACTCTACTTCAATCCACTTTTGGATGGGTTTCTTTGTGAAATAATTGTGAAAAAGATCCCATACATGTCAGTGTATGAAATAGTGTTAGATCTGTACAGTGTAAAGTATTTAAATGCTCCTATACTATCCAGATTTCAAGATGAAACTGGACTGTTGTATGATCTCATCTCTCCCTCCCTAAATGTAATTTGTCAAAACTTAAATGTTGCTGCTTTCACTTTCTGCTTTCTATACTGGGTTTCAACAGACTGAAATTCAGAGTGTCGTTTTTCTCCTCTAACATTTTCTCTAACCAGTTATTAAGAAATTGAAGCTGTTGCGCCGTTCCTCTTCAACATACCTCTAGCTTTTAATCTTTTGCTAAATGGTAAACCTACCACTACTGCAGTCATTTAATTAGCTGTTTTTCAAAACTGTGGATAGTTTGTGGATAGTTCAGTTATACACAGCTCTCAAGGGCAAAAAGGATCATGACAAACATCCATCACAGCCTATTGCATTTTATGGGACTGCTCTGCATCACGTCTTGCTTTAAATGGAGTGGTTGTGCTTGAATTAGTCCAAGGTTTTTAGGAAAAGCAAACAGTTATATCAATATAAAGCATATATTTATACACTAGTATATGCATATACTAGAAAAAAAATAGTTGGGAATCCATACTAACCCATTTTATATGGTTTTTGGGTACTGATTTTTAAAGTGTTTTACTTTCAGGATGGTTTTATTTTATTTTATTTTATTTTATTTTATTTTATTTTATTTTATTTTATTTTAACTTCATCTACTATATTTCAATTATCCAAAAGCTCATTCTGAATAATATTATTAAAATGATTGTAATAGGTGTTAAAGCAGTAACTTTATCCTGTCTTAAACAAGACAGCTTGTCAGAGAAGATAACAATTTAAATACCACTGATGAAAGATTTCATTTTGTGATAAGTTCAATTCACTGTCATCCACCTGAGGGGATTCCGAAGTGATTAACTCCTTTTCAAGTTTGCTAGGTAAAATGCTTCCTCCCTGGGCTATTCCCATTTTGTTTTCCCATGTGCAATGAATTCACCAAAGTTCCACATCTGGCGTGGAGGAAACAGGCATTATTTTTGAGAAAGTATTACTTTTCTATGGAAGACAATTCCTTTAGAGAGTTTTCTCATAAAAAGCAGAGATATGAACTTTGTTTAAACAGTGGTCAACTCAAAACATGACAGATTTCCAGAAAAGCTTCCAACACTCAGGTTGTTTCCCACTGGTCCTTGGCTGTTTGAAGGACACACAGCTCCTGACTGCTTCCTGACTGCTGGAGCAGCTATCTTTCTCTCTTGATCATCCTACCTTCAGTGTATCCAGAATAAAAGCTTATGTATTTGTTCATAATATATCACACTAAAATTCAACTGTTTTAGACTTTTTTTTTTTTTTTTTTTTTTTTTTTTTTTTTACATTTGGCAAAAGCAGACATTTGGAAAGACATTACATTTTCTTGTCTTATAGTGCATCCTTACAGGACAGTGCAAGCATAAACACTTCATGCAGAACAGCACAGAGTATCATAGAAACTAGCTAACACAAGCATATAAATGTTCAAAATGAACATTCAAAATGTTCAAAATGCTCAAAATGAAGCTGAGTTAATCGTATAGAAGGAGTTTCTGATAATTTACCCATCTCAGGCGTGCATTTGTGTGCTTACACAGAGACAAAATTACTTTTAGTATGATTACAATAAGTTTTAAGTTTACAGCAGACTGATATTTGATTTTTGTTTGTGTACAAGATATCAAAGAATTACTGTTCTTTTTCTTCTTGTCTTTAACTGAATGCAGGTGAGTTTTGGTGGTTGCTTTAACAGGGTGCAGTCAAAAATTTTTAAACAAGTAATAGCCTACTCTTCTCTACCATCTCTTTGCCTACACGTGATAGAAATTTCTGTTCTTTTCAAAATGTGAAGGATTCCTTCATCCTATTCTCCCTCAGTTCCCCTTACTCTTAAACACCAATATCATAGTTTCTGCTCAGAAAGAGCTGACGGAAGTAGGAAAGGCATTCATTTCAAATTCTCCACGTCTTGTTTACTCCTCTAAAGTTACAGCAATGGTTTATGATGTACCTGATTTGTCATTAGAACTGCAGTAGTTAATTTCTACGTATTGAAGAGAGGCCAAATCTGTAGGCAATCTCAAGATCTCTGCAATACAGGAGTAGAGGCTTCTTCATTCATTGCTGATGAATAGAGGGTGAGGATGATAAAAGGCATACAATTACTATTCTATACTAAGACAAATCTGAATGCTCTATGTCTGAAATTTAGTAAGAGTTTTTAAAAATACAATCCAGCAATTATTTTGCTTGACTCCTGTGTTCCTCCACTATAAATTCTCTGTATATATTAACACTGCCCTCCTGGCAGGGACTTGAGCCAGCTGTTAATGGTTTTGTTGCTGGGAAAATAATTAAAAAAAAAAAAGAAGATTGTGTGTCCTTGATGTGTCACTGGTATAAATAAATATTTTCAGAGATGGATATGAACCTAGATGCTATAATTTTTACTTGACAGATTAGGACAGCTGGGCTGAGAGCATCTGACAGCTAGATACAGTCTGATTTATAAGACTGAGTAGGGAAGCATGACAGACATATGTACTTATTAAAGATACATTTACAAAATGACCCAGTTTAATTTGACAACTCTGCTGGTTAAAGTCTCAGAAAGTCTAAAGATATTACTTTGTACATAAGATCAAGGCTCTAAAAATTCAGTGTAGCTTAAAAAACACAGGCAGATAGTTTCCCACATTGATAAAATGTAAGTACATTCATGAACGCTGTAAAACTAGTAAATTTTTTAGCAGGATAAATTACAGCAGCTGAGTGATTCCACATATTTAGTGGATGTAAAAAAATATATTTATGTATAATATATATGCAGTATTGCATGTTGTATATTATTTTATATAATAGTAATAAATTATTTTATTGTAATGTGCAATGAGAATATTTGTATATTAAAGTATATATATCAGGAAGTACTTTCATAGTAAATTCCTAACATCACTATTTTTGCTGTTCATGAAATTGACAGCTAGTTTCGACAAATTCAAGTATTTTTCCCTAGAAATTTATGAAAAAAATATAAACATGCTTCCACTACAGAAACAACAATCCAATCTGACTTACTTTCGAAATTCTGCTTTCCCAACATGGTCTCTCACAATTCATCTTCAATTTATGCGGAAGTCAACATTTCAGAGACCATACAAATTGTCCTTTACTGCTTCTCTGACTCCCTAAAGATTACTTATTGGAAATATATTTTCAGTGTTTCTCATTGATGTAACCAGCCTTCAAGGAGAGGAAATAACAGCACAATAACAGTTGATCCGCACAATAGCAGTAGTTATTGTGTTCTTTGTACATGTTGTAGTTTCCCTGGAAGTAAATAGGAGACATTACTTTCAAAGGGACTTACATGTTTTCCATATATGTTAAATGATGCCCTTCATTGGACTCAGCTGTGCTAAACTAGAAGATAGGAACTTCCTATTCATTTTCATGAATGTGGTGAAGCTTTTGAGAATACATGTCATCACAAAAGATGGCTAAGTGCTTGTGCTTTTGCTAAATTCTTACTGAAACTTCAAGGACCTCTCCTAATTTAAAGTTTCCTTGGGAGAGTAGAGGGGAGCTTCAAGATTTAGGTTTGACTTTTTTGTTTGTTTGTTTGTTTTTGTTTTGTTTTGGTAGCAACACTGCAGAAAAGATGTTCTGCAGAATTGTAAGTTGTCTTTCCATCCCTGTCTTTCAGATGAAATTCATCTCTTTAGAAAATACAGGCATCACCTTTCTAGTGTAAATCAGTGCAGCAGAAAAAGACTTGCATATCTTCCATGCAGATAATACAGTAAATTTGTATAAATAGTAATAGATATATCCAGAAGTCTTAGCAAACTTCAAAAACTTTTTACTATATTATGTGATTACAAGTGAAAAAAAATGTTTCTTCTTTTTGCTGTCAGAAAAAATATGCAGAAAAATAAACTTATGTTTCCTCCCTTTCCCTCTGGATTCAGATTCTTCTATTCACTTTTTCCAAATAGAAAAAGTGGAAAATTTTCCTTACTGTATCTAATACAACACTGCAAAGGAAAACGAAAGATGCAGGCCAGCTGGCAAGATAAAAAGCAAATAAATTAAAAAATGTTACTGCATTATATTGCAAAAATGTTGGACGATGTGAAGTAGCTGAATATAAACCAGATATAATAATTGCTTTAAAGATAAAACTCAACACTATGTTACTTACCCATGCAAATTGACAGTCTCATCTTAATTTTCTGCAGTCCAGCTTTTCTTCACTCACTTAAGTTTCTCACTTGAAATGCTTATCGTTCTTGTTTTACCCTAGGAAAACCCTTCACACTTTTGCTTCTCATCTTTCTTACTGACAATAAAGTAGATACTATAAGCTTAAAGAACTGTTGTGCACCAATAGACCATAAATAAACTAATAACTCTAATAAACAAGAAAAGAAAGCACTGCACAAGAAATCTTATCTATCAAACAAAGAAAAAATGGCAAGAAATAAAGAAATGCAATGACAACACTTTCTCCAAAATAAATTTGTTTTCTCCAAAGTGCAACATTAATTTGTAGACGGAAGTTTGGAGAAGTCATTTCTAATAAGTAGGCCCACTCACCCTGAGCAGGTTTCTGAAGAATTTCTTTTTTTTAAAACAAACAACAACAACAGACAAAATTATATATTTTTGCTACATATATATATGGGTCCAATGTATTTGCAATACATCAGAATGACTCCAGTGCATACTAAGGTGATAATAAAGATGTTTATTGTACTTGAAAACATTATTTTCCATGGGCAAAAATTAGCATGCCATTTGTATTGTGTGAAAGGAAAAGACCAAATATTTTCCATCGAGTCTGTAGCCAGTTACAAGAAGAAAGAAGGTTTTCAAGGAGGTGATTATAATGCATAAAAAAATTCAGAAATAGAAAAGTTTAATCAGCTGAACAGACTGTCTAGTGCATAGTTCATTAATGAAAGGCTTACTTTTTCTTGTAATAATGATAAGTTTTATGTGAATTACGATCTTTGACCTCAATTGATGAGAGTAAAATTCATAGTTACGAATGTAAATACAGAAAAATAAAAATAAAAGCAAACAAACAAACAAACCCAAAAAAACAACTTTGCAGCTCTTAAAATGAGAATTAAATATTCTTTAATTCTGTTGTGCTATATCCAGTCTCAGACCCCATTTCAATAGATCTGCTACACTTTAAATAGGAGGTTTTGTAATATGTTAAGAGGACACAAGCTGCGGCATGCAGTTAAGTCTTTTGAGTAACTACCCTTATCACTGATTTTCCCCAACTCCTTGCCCTTTGTGTTTTTGAGCCACCCTAAAATGCTGATAAGTTTTTAGATACTATGTTAAAAGTCACTACTTCTAACACAGCTGTTAGAAAAAAATTGATGCCAGATCCAGTCTATATATAGTGCTTGAAAAGCACATCCTCTTGTTTTCTTAATTTTGGATGAAACACATAAAAATTAAGCTTTAAATGGAAATACATTTTCAAATTCAAGTGGAAAAGAAACTTATGTCATTCTGTAATCACTCAGTCTGTGTGCTATTACTCTTGTTGAACTAGATGGCGTGGATACAACACTAAGGTTCTGCACATGATTAACATTTTATTCTTCCTGTAACTTGCTATAAACCTCATATGAACTTGCAAGTTGGCAACAGCATGGTAAGAGTTAGGTGCCAAACTGTATGAGACATTTTTTCCAAACAGAATCACCTTCCTTGAATGTAGTTTCTTTTCCCTCTCTCTTCCTCTTTTCTACTTCTGACCCCCAGTATCTAGTTGGATGTTTCATCTGTACTAGGGACTTCAAGAATTCATCCTAGGCTTAAAATACTCCTTTAAGAGATCTTTCAAACTTTCGCCTCTAGCCTTGCTCTTTTTGCCAAGAAATACTGCAGAAAACATACCAGATATTGCAATCTTGGCAAGCATGATGCAGACTGAGGTCCATAGGTTCCAGAAGTGTAGATGTGTCTGATAGTAGCCAGGCATTTTCAGTCATGGCTCCATGTGATATATTAGCAGGTTACTCTGTAGGTTCAATGTCCAAAGAATCAGTCTGGTTGGCCACTTGGTCTTGCAGGAAGCTTTTCAGCTCTCAGGAGCTGGAACAACATCTTTACTCAAATTTTGTGAACATACTCAGTGGAACATCTCAAGGTCTTTACTATTGGCCATATTTTACACATCCACTGAAGGATTTTTAATACCTTAGACAAAGTTTCTGCCTTGTACAGGACTTGGAAATGAAAGCCTGAAGAGTTTTTCTACAAATAATCAGCTTTTTTAATTGAAGATAATATAATGAGATTTTCCCACACAGCTCTTTCAGACAGTAGTTAACCTAGATACAGGTAAAACAATGAATGGAAGCTGAGCTTGTTAAAATCCCACAGGTCTACTGCCAACATTGCCTCCCACTGTACTATTTGGGGATCATCTCTGATTTATGATTAATGAAAACAAGCTTTTGTCTTCAGCTTTTGTTTGTCAAGGCTTTTTTTATCTGTTAGGAGGAAGAAGTATGGTTTGGCCAAATCACTTCCTTGTTAACATGCTTTCATTCTTGTAGTGAACTCATTCCCATTACATCCAGCAGGTGAAAAATGAATGCATGCACAGCAGCATGATTTGAAATCTCTACAGCATACGGAAACAGCTAGACATTTCAATTCGTTGCTGATAAATTTGTTTCTTTGAAAACATGGAATGTACTTCAAAAATATCAATGTGATGCCTCAGTGAACATCCCTTTATTGAAAATCAGAACAACAATACAATTCTGGTCACAAACAAATGGCCTGACAAAGTCCAAACACAGACAGTCAAGGCCCTGTTCTGTCTTCAGATTCACAAGACTGATTGCTGTGGAAAGCCCACCATGCACCCCGGGGAATAATTGGCCTTTAATTTATAAAACCTTTAGGTCCATTTTATCCAGATGATGAAAGCTCTCCCCTTTTCCTGCTACCAACCCAATTTGCCAGATTACATTTTGCTCAGAAAAGAGAATAGCTCTATCTGCATTACTAGAAATGGTGGGAACAGGGAAACACTGAAAAATAAACTGATTTGCTCAAAGCCATTAGCATTTGCAAAGAATACTGACTCTCAGACATTGAGTTCACTGTGATGCAGCTTTTCAAGCTGCTCTGTGAGTTGCTTGGTACTCTGGAGATTGTACACTGATGATACAGAAAGAAAGGGAAAAAACACTGTGAATTAAAATAGAAGTTTGAGAAAGTCACAGAACAGGTTATCTATGGAAGCATTTAAATATATGACTGGTGACAGATACGAGTAGCAACAGAAAAAGAAGATAACAAAAGATAAGAGAGGAAATATCTTCAGCACCATTAAGTAACAGGGTAAGAATTTTATTTGTTCTGCAAAACCAAGCATTTGTAAATCAGGAGATGACACATATCAGAATTTAGGTGAGGCATACCTGTCAACTTGAATTTTGAGTAACTACATATAGGAAAATGATTGAAGTTGCTGTAGTTGTTGCATTGATATACCTCCATTTGTCATCCTAGATTTAAAATTAGCACTGAAAGACCTTGTTTACAATTGTCCTTTCTTTCATTTTGCTTATGGTTCATCAGGGTTTTACATGCCCAAATGCCATAAAGAATGACTGAATCCAAGCCACAACTTCATTTCCTAGTTTCCTTGGAGTCCAAAACTAGTACTGGAGCATTTTCTTCTGAGAAGTTATTAGGTTAGAAAACTGGTCAGTTCTTTTCATGCCTTCTAAGTCTCCCATTGGTCAATCAAAGGCCTTGTAAGGAAATTCCAATGGCTGAAGCTTTAGATCCTGTTGAAGTCACAAGATGTCTTCTAGCGTCCCACTCCTGTGACCCCAGTGGCTTAGTCTGAGTGTGGTGGCAGCTTCAGCCAAGCTCTTGGGAAGTGGTGGCCATATCCCTTTTCCATGGACCTCCAGGAGCAGCTAGGCAGTACAACCTTCCCTGAGCTGAAGTCATCCCACTGCAAATATGGCTACAGAGAACTAATTCTTCTCACAAGTTTTTTTTTGGCTCCTCTTTAAATCAGTGAGTCTTGTGTGAATAAGCCTCTTCCTCTATGCTTAGGCATTCTGAAAAACAAAAAACAAATGACTGGCTGTAACTTTGCGTGGGACAATTTGCAGGCTTTTTAGAGTATGAAGACTTCAACCATACAAATTTTCATTAGTTTACATACACAGATAGAAAAAAGTAGTAGTTACATTAGAATGCTTAGTTATACTTTCATGTAACATCTTGTATGTCAACAAAAAGAAGAAAATTGGCATTCCTGTTTGAATGGACCCCTCTTATGCTTCAGAATCTAGAATAATTATTGATAATTATGTGATATATAAAACACTACATGATGGAAAAATGATGGGAACTCTACAGATACAACAAAATTCAGGTCTGTGCTGTAAGTAAGGAACCTGCATCTGTCAGCTCACCATGGAAAGAATAAAATTCAAATGACAGCAAACCAGACAAAAAATTAAAAGGTTTTTTTTACTCATACTTATGAAAATGTTCACAAAATAGAAGGTGAGTGGATTCAGAAATACTGGTGAAGTAAGCAGCAATTTTAAAAATTGTGTTGGGAAAGAATGTATGTAATAAGTCTTTTACACTTTCAGAACAGTTTCACTTCACAAAGATATGAAGTGATCATCTTTGATGACTATCTATCTAAAAATTTAACTTCAAATAGTATCTAAATTTTTGGTAAGAAGATTTGCACCACAAGAGAGAAGAACTATGACACTGCAGTATAACTGCCCTTAAGGACAGTTTCCCAGGGAATCCCACTCAGCAGTTCCTTGAGCAACCAAAAGTTTGCTCTCCTAAAGCACAGGGTCCTAACTCTGCTTTTTGCCAGGCCTGCATTCTTCAAGATCACAAACTGCACCAAGGCATGGTCACTACAGCCCAGGCTGCCTCCAATCTTAACCTCTCTAACACTCTCCTCAGCATTGGTGAGCACGAGGTCTAGTAAGGTTTCACTTCAGATTGGTCCATTTATTACGTGGACCAGGAAGTTGTCCTTGACAGACTCCAGGAATCTCCTGGATTGTCTGCCACCCACCATGCCATTGATTTCTAATTCTACAAGCAAAACATGACAAGTATTAACAGAAACTACATTTTGTGGAACTGTAATTGTGAACATAAAAAAAACACACCAATGTTTGTAAGAGTGGTAATGGTATTCTTTTTTCCCAGTGCTATCTGTTAAAAAAAAAAAAAAAAGTAATACAAGTTTGTCCTTTAGCATGAAAACATTTTTAAGAATTATCCTTAAGAATACTGAATGTGAATGAATAAGCAGGGAAAAAAATAAGTACAAAAACAAAAGGAATATCTGCTAAAACTGGGCTACTAGATAGTTTCATGGCAGAATTATCTAGGTATTAGTTGCTCTACCACAAAATATGTTCCTGTTGCAACCACAAAATTTAACACATTAATAAAAACAACCAATCGATGTAACAACAGCAGTTGGTTATCTGTAAAGTTCAACACTTAATCATAATTATGTCAGGAAAAGCTGACATGACTAAGTATAGGAAATCATATAAAGACAACGTAGAAGTAACCAGTCATTCCTAAATCATCAATTTGGCCAATGACTTCAATTACTTCTCTTTAAGTTTTCTTGAAAAAAAAATGATTAATCCCTTTTCCATACAGCTTTTCCAGTTATCAAATTAAGATTTAAGCTAAATCCATGAGTGCAACGATAGTTTAATTACATTAAACCACATAAAATTCGCAATGAGGAAGATAACTACTTTACTATGAAACACTTAATATATTAATAAAACTAGTGCATTTTCTTTCTCATGAAATATTATGCTGCTATTGTAACAACTACTCTTGCTTGGTAGGTGGATATAAAGAAAACAGAATATTTACAGCCTTGTATACAATTTCTTTTCCTAGGGCACCAGGTGCAATAAATGCCACCAGAAGGATGCTCTAGGCAATGCCATGCTGTCTAACATGGCTTGGCATACATTAGCTCAAAGCCTTTGTGTCTTTGCAGACTTTGATTAAGGGCCACTGTTAGAAGTCCTATGGGTTTTTACTTGATCCAGTGTAGCATAGGGAGTGGTTTTTTTCTTTATCACAGTTGCCAAAAATATGCCAGTTAAGATAATTACATTTCAATTTAAATTGGTAATTTAATGGAAATTTTAAACCATGATGTAGGGCAGGTTACATACTTCCAGTCCAAAACCACAACAATAGATGTTGTCTGTTGCAGATGATTTAACAGCTCAGAGCTATATTTTTGGCTCTCCATGAGAAGAGACAGTTTTAGGACTCCCCATAGTTTTACAGAATTTTCTTCAATCTGTTTTAAGTGTTGCCTTCATTTTTAAGAAGCAGAGCAAAGGATCTGCATGTGTTTTTTGTTTGTTTTAATATAGCAGTATCACCTGCCTGCTATTACGTCCTTCATTAACTGTCTTTTTGAGTCATAATAAATGAAAAAAAATTCCTCTTAACAATATTTGCTCCTTTTGGGAGGACAAGTAGAACTGTCTGCCACTTCTCTGTTGTTTTCACTATTTGTTTCAGAGCTGACACAGAAGCCTGGCAGTTGCAACATACTGTAAGGGGAATCAGTTTCCTTTGTTTGGAGCGCAGTGTGTACCGTCATTTACATAATAAAATCCTCACACAAATAACAGATGGTGAAGAGGCACTCATGTTGCCACATGTTGGAAGCATGATACAGTTCCTGGATGAACTTGTTTGTCTTACTTTTGCCTACAGATGTCTTCCAGCTATTAAACCTCACAGGTTAGTCAGCTGGTGAAAGGTTTTAAGACAAAAATCTTTTTTAGGCAAAAATCTGTCACCAGAGTTTTCCTTTTTCCAGAAGAAGGAAAAAGCTGTATCCTGATAGAAACACTCAATTAATTGAAATGTTTTACAGCACCATGAAAAAAAAAAAATAAATCAGTCTTTCTGTTTTACCATGGGATCATAGAATCCTTAGAGTTGGAAAGGACCTTTAAAGATCATCCAGTTCAGCTCCTTTTCAATGAACAGGGACATCCTCAGCTCAATCAAGTTGCCCAGGGCCTTATACAGTCTTGAAAGTCTCCAGGGACAGGGCATCAACCATAACACTAGGTAACCTGTTGCGGTACCTCACCATCCTCACTGTAAAAGACTTTTTCCTTATATCCAACCTAAATCTACGCTCTTTAAGCTTGAAGCCATTTCCCTTTTTTCTATCACTGGACACTGCTAGAGAGTCTTTCCCCTTCCTTTCTGTAGCTCCCCTTCACATACTGAAAGACTGTTATCAGGTAACCTTGGATCCTCCTCTTCTTCAAGCTGAATAGCCCCAGCTCTCTCAGCCTGTACTCATAGGAAAGGTATTCCATGCGTAGGACCATTTTGTGGCCCCCCTCTGGATGCACCCCAACAAGTCTGTCTCTTCTGTACTGAGGACTCTAGTAAGGCCTCTCCAGCAAAGAACAGAGGTGCAGGATCACCTCCCTCACCCTGCTAAAATGGTTCACTGTAGAAGACAGCAAACCCCTCTGAGTATAAGCTGTTTTCTCTTTTTTTGAATTCTTTTCTGAGCAGAAGTTGGGGATAGAGAGAGCAATGCTAATGCTGTATATCAGTAACATCAGTTCTTGGATACATTACCATTAATTCTATGTGCAAATTAAGTGTCAAAAAAAAAAAAAAAAAAAAAAAGTCTGTCACATGGAATAACAGCCTTACAGCCTGCATACAGTGCAGTGAAATAAGATCACACTACACTCCCTAATTAGAGCTAATGGATCTGTTCCTGATGCTACTTACACTGATTTTATGATCATATAATCTGTTTTGCCATCTCCAGTGGAGCTTCTCTTAAATATGAATCAGCACTCTGGATGAAAAAGAGGCATTTAAATGAGTAGCCAGTCAAGTCTCCTTAGGTGCACTTATTTCTCCTCAGATGCACACTTCCATACTGCTTTCAAAGACAAACCATGCTGCAGTTTCAATACAGGTGTTGGGATTGAGAATACAGGCAAAATATGGGTCTGTTTCATCACCTCTATTTTATCTGAAATATGGCATTTTGTACAGCTGTGCAAATAGAACAATTACCTAAATCCTTTAGCATCTACAGAAAGAGCAAGAGGAAATATAATTTTATAACATAACTCTGTCCTCAGCATGTGATGTGTTGTTTTTTATGAACACTTTGAGTAGACTTATATCCAGTTCATTTACCTACTCTTTGCTAGAAATTTAGCCTACTAACTTCAGAAATCTAGTTTTCAGTTCAACAATATCTGCTTTTCCAAATTTAACAACTCTACTGATTGGAAGGGCATTCTATATTTTATGAACACCAAGACAGTGAATCCTCCATCTGGCTCTGTGATGGGCAAGCAGATTGAGAAGATTTGTGTTCTTACTTAGGAGCTCCCCATTCTGGGGCATGGGCTCAGAGAGTAATCTCATCTGTGGATATGATGGTGTCCAGAAAGCACCTCAGCACATCAGGGTGACCCTTCATCCTGTCCCATTTTTCTTTGGATACCAACATGCCTAACAGCCCTAAATCACTACCCCTGAAGCTGCTGTGATGGCGTACACAAAATCCTTCCTGTGAAGAATATCTTCTAATGCAGATTCCTGTTCCACTCCCATTCTCTGGATTTAGCACTGCTGCAAAAATTGCTAGATCATAAATTTTTGTTTTGTGTCTGTCTTATTAACTGCTACAGACATAGAAAGTCTGTCTAACAGAGCTGTTAATTAATCATGTAACATATTTCAGGGAGTACTCCACAAGTAAAAAAAGAACATATTAAAACAAAAGAAATAAAACCCGCATCCTAAACCTAAACTGAGCCCAAACTCAAAAATAAAGCCAGTGCACTGTAATGATTTTGTGCTCACATACAGAATGCTAATCTGATGTGATGTTTTTTTCTCCTTAAAAGTTTGGTTAGCCCTGATTAACGTGTATTTGTGTCACACGAGGCCTGCCCATAAGGGAAGAATATTTTGAACTACCATGTTATTAGTTACTACAGTTTTAAGAAATGTAGGCCTGATTACCTCAAAGCATGGAGCCCTGACAATCAGCAGTTCTTTTTCTTTCAGAAGAATCTTTCCTCTTTTAGAAACTTCCACATTAATAGTAACTTGCTACTTTCCAGATATCTAGGAAAAACACATGGCTGCTATATTTCAAAATCATCATGCCCCACAGGAATATTATGCATTAATGCACCAACATTAAACAGTTAATATGAAGTCATTTGAATTTCATGTCATAACATAAAGGCAAAATGAGCAAATTCAGAATCACGCACTTACAAAATTGCATAAAGATACAGACAACAAATGAAATATAAATTTTCTTCATATGTTTTTACATCAAAGTCAAATCCCAAAGGCATCTGTATCTAGAGATGCTTTACTCGGCCCTGATGATGTCACCAGGATTTTACTGCTCTGTATCAAGTTTACACATATTCAGGTTATATTCACAAAAGGGAATATATTCCATTCAGGGATTCCCACTGAGTTTCCTCATGTAGGAAGATAATGACCTTTCCTCAACTTTCTCCAAGTTTTCTTCCTCACCATTCACCAGATTGGACAAACCCAGAAACCCAAAGATTGAGAAGGGCTGAGAAATATCATCAGGGGGATTTCTTTAGAAAACTTAAAAAAGAACTGCAGTTACTTGTCTCGTGGGAATCTACATCTGACTGACAATAAAAATGTTATTGTCATTTCTGTTTGTTCTGCATAGATTATACCTCTAAAGGTACAGCTGTGCATCATGCATTTTAATTATGACAAGTACAATTCTTATGAACAATATAACTCTATAATTACTAATATTTATCAAACAAACAATACTGGGACTAGATTGCGGATGTAAAACATTCCATAATAGATACGGGCTTCTCAAGATAAAAGTAACATAATTAAAACTCTACCTCAGATCTAGCCAGATAGAAATAGTATGCTTGAATAACTAAAATCAAAAGTGAGCAAGAATGAAGACTTTTAAAGAATGAAGAAGAAGTAGAAGCTCACTCAACAATTAAACAGAACTTTGAGGGTTTTAAGAAAGTAGCAGAAGAGAATATTCAAAGCAGTGTTAGTGAGTGAACAAAACGGGTCAGCTATTTAGATAAATGCTTTGTTCTGAAAAGAAGCGAGGTAAAGCAATTGCAAAATTTGCACTTATTCTCATTTTTATTATCCAGAAACATTGTCAATCATAACTTTTCATGGTATTTTGTTTTTCTAGTTCTAGACATCAAGGAAGAATGAAAATTAAACAAGACATAACTTTCCCTTAAAAATTATCTAATTTTATAGAAATTAGGGTACCTAGACCAATTTTGGCAAGGCAGTTGGCAAGGCAGGCTTCCTCCACTAGTAGAAAGCAATATGTTGCCCTGAACTCAATGATCATGGATGCATATGTCACATTAATTCTTTGCTGATTAAAAACCCATTCCGTTATACACCATGTTTATATCAGACCCTTTATCTTTTTTTCTCTTTTGAGCTGATTTTTGTAATAGATGCCCTTATTCCTCATTACCTCCTTTAAAAAACCTATCTAACATTGTTTCGGCTTCTTAGTATCCTCAGTTGCAATGGTTTTCCTTGAATTTAAATTCAGTTGTTTTTCTTTCTAGGTGCTGTTTTCTTTTTAGATATCATATACTGTCTAAGACTCCTCTACTTTGGTCTTTCTCTGATAACACAGAACAACCAAACAGTATTTTGCTATAATACATTCCTACTTAACATTTTTTTCAACCCCAAATCACATGGATCTATTCTTACAAGTTTTTTTTCCTGATGTCATTTTCTATACTTCTAATTCTATGTAAGGACTTTCTTTGCCTAAAATTCTATGATAATCTATGCGATGCAGGAAAAAAACAATTTTAAGTGCTAGATTATGGCAAACACAGTTGCACTGATGTGTCTGCTGGAGTTTTCCATTCTTCTAATGTCAACAAATGCAAGTGATGGCAGAGTATAAGCCAGCAGAATTTTTTATTTTTTGATGATATTTGGAAATATGAAAGGAAAAATAATTAACCTGCTTTGGCAGGGGGGTTGGACTCGATGATCTCTGGAGGTCCCTTCCAACCCCTACAATTCTGTGATTCTGTGATTCTGTGATCTCTATTTGGCCTATAAATAGCTCACTTATCTGTTGTAAGTTTTGGCTAGTTGATTTCTACTATTGCTCCCTTTTTGTAATAAGCAGCTCTTCAAGCTTTTCCCTCTGATTATAAAAGACTCAGATATTTGCTAGTGTCAAAGAAACAGAGGACAATAGGAGAAAAGTGCAAGCACTCAGAAAAAAAGATCATGAAAAAGTACCCCTTGAATCAGCTTTCACCCATGTTCTTAATCTTTCCTGTTCAGTTCTTTCTAAAACACAGAAATACCTGAAGCAAAACCAAATCAAAACCTATGCTTGACTGCTTCTGAAGGCATTCTCCCAGGAGACCAGGACCTATTCCCACTTTTGTGAATTGCAAAGAAACAATTTCAAAATGGGAGATCAGTTAGATACTGCCAGCAGACACCTTCACACTCTCACAGCCATGGAAAATCAGAAGTATAAAAATGGATCCAGGGAAAAAAAGAGCTTAAATCAAGATTCCTCACTTCCTAGCTGTTGGCTAGGCTATAAATTGAATTTAAAATATGTTAGAAAAAAAATCTTTGTCCAGAGGCATTTCCAAATACTGGCTTAAGCAAGTAAATGGAGACAATGGTTGGTGAGTACAAGCATCTTAGAGGAACTCTTAACACTGAGCAGACTCCAGCCATTGTTACTCCAAGTCTAAACTGTTGACTAGAGGAACTTTATGGCTCTATTCTTCTCTGAATTTTGGCAAGCTGTCTAAAAAATGTAATGTAGAGAGTTAATGCTTGACATGCAACAGTGCGGCCTTGCCAGTTAACTATGTCTGTCTGTACATTAAACACCTAGGTGCTACTGAAATGCAACCTATTCTTAGAGCTGTTTCCAGCATAGTTCAGTGTAAGCAATATGGCTGGTGCCCAAGATAGGCTTACACCTCACATTCAAGTCTATTACAGTTCTAAATCAGCACAAGCCAGTTTTATCTGTATTTGCTGCAGTATGCATAATGCCAGTGTGTTGTGACCCTCAGCTGACTTGTGCTGATTGAGGTTTGAGGACACTCACAACCCAGAGTCATTAAGAATGCAGGTGCCTCACAGCAATTTAGTGACAAGGAGTGCCAATGGTTTCCAAACAAAAAGTATTTCCATCTTGTCATTTGGAAGACCTAAAATACATAAGGATTACTAAAACTTAGTAATACTTAGTAATACATCACATGATGAATTGCATCATGTAATATAATTACAAGAGTTTTAGTTTGCTCTTCATACACTTTTTCTAGTGCATACTTTTCAAATATTTAAAATCTGATCCATACAAATAAACTTGGGAGGGGGATAATCACCCTACATCTGTTTCCCACTTCCCCTGAGAAAGGCTGAAGAGATGGCCCTAAGGTACAAGAGTATGGATCTGTGCCTCTTGCTCTGTGCTTCCACTAACTGAATTCAGAGTTTGGCTGTTTGCCTTTGAATGCTCTGATGACAGCATTACATTCAGGCTAAGCTCAGTCAGCTAAGCTAATTTTTGCATCCTGGGATCCTATTCCACCAGCTGAATCCTTAGGTTTAAACGTCCAGCACTCACACATTGGACTAATCTTATCATCACTGTTCAAAAATAATTGAAACAGGTATTGAGCTGTGTCTGCATATAGATAAACAAAAAGCCCCACTCAGATAATCATTTTGCAGAGTTACGCAATTGTAGAAAGCAAACTGCTCATGCAATCTCTCTCTTTGGGAGTCTTCCAATGATTCAAAAAAAACCCCCACAAAAGTAAGGCAATTGTCTAGGACAACTGGGAGACTGTTTCATAGAATCACAGAATATCCTGTGTTGGAAAGGACCCATAAAGATCACAGGATCCAGCTTCTGGTTCCACACAGGACCACCCCAAAATCAGACCACGTGACTGAGAGCAATGTCCAAACACTCCTTGAACTCCGGCAGCCCCGGGCTGTGATCACTGCCCTGGGGAGCCTGTTCCAGGGCTCAACCACCTTCATGTGAAGAGCCTTTCCCTAACCCCACCTCCCCTCCCCTGACACAGCTCCATGCTTTTTCCTCAGGCCCTGTCGCTGTCACAGAGAGCAGAGCTCAGAGTTGCCCCTCTGCTCCCTGTGAGGAGCTGCAGCTTCCATGAGGCCCCCATCAGCTCCGCTGCTCTGTGCTGAGCAAACACAGGGACCTCAGCTGCTCCCTGCTACCCTTCACCATCTTGGTAGCCTTCTTTGAACACTATCTAATTGTTTTATGCCCTTTTATTTCCATCTGTATTAGGGCAGTAATACACAGCCTTGAGTAAATTGTGCCTGTGAGTTGGAGTTCCCCATCTCTGAATGGGTTTTTGGTTGTTATATTTTATTTTGTAAAGCACTAAGATCTACAGATAAAAGAGGTAGTATCATTGTTTCACAATTTTATCTTGACAAGCTTAAAATGAATCCTGCTATGCCAGTGGCACTGCTGTTTGGTTGTTTATCATGCACATTTTCATCATCGAGGAACAGATGTGCTTTCTGGATAGTCTTCAAGATTGTTTTACAGAGAACTTTAGAGTATTTTGTTTTAATTTTATTTCTTTTGTTGCTTATTTTCTTTAAGCTTTTTATCCTCAGGGACTTGGCTAAGCTGTGACCATTAAAAAATTATACAGCAATATGTAGTTTCTGTTTTCCATTTAAGCTAAATTTTACACAAATAAATCTCGAAGGATTGAATATACCTTCTCTATTTTTCTGACTGACTTCCTATGAATGCTGCTTTCTGTCTGGGCAACGTCCCTCCTCTCTGTAGAACAATTATTAAAACCAAATGTTGCCTGAACTATGGATCATGTTTGCCTTGCTCCTAGAATTAGGAGCATAGTGATTTCCTTACCTTCCTGTTTGTCCAAGTTCTGTCATCAGGTTTACACAAACAAGTCAGGCAGTCTTTCCTGAGGCCAAGGAAATGATGACAAGCAGAGCAAATGAAAGTTGCAGAAAGATTGACCTGTTCAAAAAAAAACCCAGCAAACTTCTCAAATCAAGAAATTCCAAAGAGGACCAAACTGCTAACATAAACCTAATCTATCAGAAGCATTCTTAATCCAGATCACGACCTTGTTTTCTGTCCCCTTACTCCTTTACTGTTATTAAAGGTGAAGTACTTCAAAATTGACATATTTTTAAGTTTTGAAATGGACTCAGACTTCAGAAAGTTATGGCTGAAACCAGTCACAATTTGCAAAGAAAAATGCTGTGATCAGCTGCAGAGAAAAAAAAAAAAAAAGAAAAAGAAAAAAGAAAAAGAAAAAAAAAAGGGGCAAAAGGATTTCAAAACGGCTTCAGAATAGTCATAAAGTCACTACAGCAGAGACTTCCAGAACTCTGCAAGAGTTGCATGCATGTAGCTCCTGTTACATTTTATAGGCACTGCATATCTGAGTTGTCTTAGCTGTTCTGAAAAAAACCCTACCTCAGTCAGCATGATTAATGCTTAATAACATAATACTGAATTTACTGCTTAATTTATACTCTCTCTGCAGACTGAAGCATTCTTCTCGAATTCTAAAAGCTTCTAGAGTAGCTTCAAATACAAATATTAAGAAAATAAATCTTGTTTCAGAAATAATTCCTTTTATTCCTCAAGTATTAAGCACAGAGCCAGGAGACTTAAGACCTAGTGTATTCTGACATATTGCATCTACAAACAGGCTGGAAGCAGGCTAAGAGTCAGCCTAGGAATATTTTGGTAAGCCCAGGAAGCAACTCTGTCAAGGAAACAAAGAAATCTAACCTATTCCTATTTAATACTGAATTAACATTTATTTCAGCTAGACTGCATTTCTAGAGGAACTTTCAGGTAATAGATAATCTATCTTTTACATTTGTAGTTCTACTTCTGGGTTTAAACTAGTCCCAAAAGCTGGCTAAGATGCATAAAGGCAACCTTTCCAGCAGGACCCAAAGAAGTTTTGTCTCCACACAGTCTGTTCCAAAGTGCAGAAACACTCCTTAGCAATGGGTAGAGAATTTCTGAACATTTTGCATGAGTGTGTTGGCTGGTTCTCCCAGCCCAGCACAAAGCAGATTCCCATGACACATCATAACAGGATCATTGCTCTACAATACAGAATAAGAAGTCCGGCAATCCCCAGTACATATAACAAGATACCATCCAATAAAACTGCCTGGATAGATCTAGCCTGAATGTTGCTCACAGAGGTGAAGTTACAAATGGGTACCATAACTTATTATTATGCCATTCTGTGCAAAACCAGTAACACTCTTAAACAGGTATGACTTTCACAAGGCTGGTGTATTTCAACCACATCTACAGGGCAAATTGTTTATTAGTATGTACCCCTTGCATACTAATTAGTAAATGCTGTAACACCAAGCAAGATACCTATTAATGGATTAAATTCTAGAATGCTGGTGTGTCTAGTTTTGCTATTCAAAAGAATATGTATTTTTTATACAAGAATGAATGCAATAATAGACTTGGGATTTACATAATAGTATAAGCTCTCCTTGATATCTTACAAATATACAAATTAATTGTTTTGACTTAAGTAAATATGTTCTTAAATAATTAATAATTGTTACTATAAATAATGCAAGAGAGAGGATACTCATTGGAATCTCAAAGATACAGTTAGATTTCACCAACATATTCCAGACTAATGTCTCCCAAAAATACAATAAGAGGAATACTTTTTTATTTTCTGATTGGTACCTACAAAGAGTTCTTAAATCTTCACATCAAGAAAGAAGCTTGCAAAGTTATAAAAGTATAGAACATGGATGTAAGTCTTGTCTCATTTCTAGAGGGTGTTCATGGGAAAAAAAGCATCAATGAGTTTCAGTTCAGTAGCATCTCCCTGCCATTGTTTATAACAAACCCTTTAATACAGTAATACTTTTCATCACATTCAGGACAACATACACTTTTCTCTGAAGCTACAGATGCATAGCAGAAGATTCACAGATTTCATACCCTGATCTACATTATCCCTCTTCTGGTTCTCAACATTCAAAGCAAATTCTGGCAAAGAACTGGCCAAAACATTAGCTAATGAATCTGTTGAGTTTATTGCCTGTGATCTACCACCAAAAACAAAAGAGAAACAACTACTTGTGAGAAGGGAGTGAAACAGAGGTAAAAGTCTGAAGCCGAATGAGAAAAATGAGGAAGTTGAATAAGGGCAAACCTACGCTAGAGAAGAATTTAAGGCTGAGAGAGCTGGGATTGTTCAATCTGGAGAAGAAAAGACTGAGGGGATGTTATCAGTGCTTATAAGTACCGAAAGGTGGGTGTCAAGTGGATGGGGCCAGGCTCTTTTCAGTGGTGCCCAGTGATAGGATAAGGGGCAATGGGCACAAACCGGAGGGTAGGAAGCTGTGTATGAACATGAGAAAGATCTTAATTGAGGGTGACAGAGCACTGGAGCTGGTTACCAGAGAGGTGGTGCAGTCTCCTCCTCTGAGAGATTCAAGACCCTACTTGGACACCTATATATGTGATCTGCTATAGGTAACCTGCTTTAGCAGGACAGTTGGACTAGATGATGTTCAGAGGTTCCTTCCAATCCCTACCATTCTGTGCTTCTGTGATTTAGCATCTTGAAATATAAGTCCACCCAAAAATATGGAGAGACTCTTTGTTAATTCCTTCCAGTTAATTCTAATAGATTCCACCTCTTTTTTTTCCTATGTAAAATGTGTAAATCTATAGTAAAAATTGTACTAATTGACATTTTTAGGTGTTCTCTCTACTGTTCTTAATTCTGCACATTGTAGGCTAGCTTGTACGTATATACAGACAACAGCAGCAGAATTAAACATGAGATGTCAATTATCATTTAAAATACACACAAATTATCTCCCTTCTTTCCCATTCATCCTCCTTTTTCCTTACAAGCCACCTTTTTCTCATTTTTCCCCCTTTTCCCCTTATTTTCCTCTATTTTTTGTCAGTCTTTTCTCCCTCTCCTAAATCTTCTCTTCAATCTCATTCTTTTTTGCCTTTCAAATTAGCTTTTAGCTAAAGTGTTCTCAATACATTTTGGATAAATGCAAACTGAATTGATACCACAGGCACTGGCCACTTCTGTTGTGTCACTTATTCTTTGCTAGTGCCTGCAATAATGTATTGTGTTCACATTATATCCAATACATATATATATTGTTTCTGCTAATAGAAAGCAATTTCATATTGATTACAGAAGCTTCAAATGCATCTTTACTGAGGAAAAAAGAAAAAGCAATGTAATAAGATAAAGAGTAAATATAATAATCTGGCCTCGTGACAATACACAGTGTGTGTATATATGAAGAAGATTATAGGAGCTCAAAGACACAAAGACCAAGGGAAAAGGACTGTTATTCCGTGTACACAAAAGGCTAGGCTTCCTCATGAATAGCACTTAAATTAATGAACATTCCTTTACCTTGACACAAGCTATGTTACTCCCAGGCCCTCCTTGTCATCTCCTTCCAGATCCTGTAGCCTGGAGGAGGAGGAAAAGAGAGCAAAGAAGGACAAGTAGGCAGGGTTGTTCTCAATCTATCCAAACAGACAGGAACCTTGCAAAGCCTTCAATTATAGGAATAATATCTCTGTGAAGATTGGGTGGAATCTTCCAATCTTCCGATTGTTGAATCTTTCCAGTGAAATCTAGCATGTACTAGCTTCTGCTAGTACATGTGAAAAGTTGAAAGAGAAAGTGAGGAAAAAAAAAAAAAAAAAAGGGAAGAAAAGTGAAAGTTTAATTAAAAATTGATTGAAAAAAATTGGGTGTGATTACCACTGTAAGCTTTCTTTGCTTGTACAGTACAGCAGTAGCAGAAGGAATTCTTCTTGGTGATGTTGGTTTGGCTTTAGCCCAAGACCTGTGCTATCTAAGCATTTTATCTTTACATTTTCTTTCTTTGTTTTTACTGGGATTGCTGTAAAAGTTATTTTTACGTTAATGTTCTTATTTAATTCCTCTCCCTCAAAATTCCTTTCCTTTAATCTACTCTTAAGAAAAATTGGCAGAAAATTTTCCTCTCCATATAAAGAGATAGGAAAAAGGTCTTTTGCCCTCTTAAACTATTATTGGACTTGTTAGATACGGAGGAGGAAGTAGAGAATCATAACAAAGGAAAATAAAAGATAAAGTTATAGTCATTGCTCATTTAAAGCTACTCCAGTAAGCATAAACCACAGGCAGATTCAAACTTGCATTAACAATAATTATTACTTTGCCCATCTTCTGTTGGTTTGCCTATTCCAACCGCATGCTTATTCATGTTGTAAATACTTAAGGCAAGATGATGTTATTTACTTCATTCATTGTGGTCGTTTTGTGCCCATGGCTTTTTGATGTAATTTTGTTTGGACAAAGATTTAGAGGCACATACAAAAAAAAAAATTCAACTTGACATTTTTTTTGCCTCCTGGGGGTGATGCAAAACCAACCTTAGACACTCTCGTCATTAATGTAATATATTGTTAATATTCTTATTACTCTCTATAATTTATTCTTGGCAGCATTGGGAAGGCCTCCCTGCCCACTCCAGGTTAAACAATCAAACTTTTTTATCTAATTCAAAATAGAAATAAGGCTGGTTCCAGAGAACCTGATGATCCCTATCTTACCATTTGAAGAAGAGAAAAATACACCATTTTGCTTCAACTTTTCCCCTTTCACAGTTACATCATAAGTTCAAAAGAGCAAAACACCATTGACCTCCTTGTGAACTCACACCTAAACTGTTTCACAGAAATGCCAGCAAGAGGTGCTCAAGCACTAGCCACGTGTTGTCCCTTAAGATTTGCATGCTGCCCCAACTTCTCAGCTTCACCACTTAGGGGAAAAACATCTAAAGCTATTTGTGAAGTAGTATCTTCCACGGTATGAAAAGTGCTATTTAAGGAAGTACTAAGTGTAACTGGCTTAAGTGCACAGTGTAAGCAATATTAACTGTAGCTTTATTTAAATTCAGAAATTACCTGCATTTATT